GGTGCTCCTACTTCAAATATGGCATTACTTAAACCAATTTTAGAATGTATTCCTGACGATAAATCGAAACAATTATTTCAATTTATTATTCGATTTGCAACTGAATTTTCAGTAAAATTTAATTCTTTTTTTTTTTATAAATACTGATTTTAGCTCTGGTTTGCATAGTCTCGGTCCCACACATTTCTAGTACTAATAATTCCCAGAATTCTTGTAGACCTTTAAAGAGCTATGCGCATAATGTTTTAAATTAATTTTTAATATAATAATTGTACTGAATTATTTCTAGTCTCGATCACGCATACAAAACTTTTGGCAATCATCTGGCTTTTCTTTAAATGATTTAATTAAATCTGATCTGATTGATTCTTCATTTTCAAATGAATTTGATTGGTTATTTGATACACCTGAAAGTGAATCACCAACACCACAATCCAAAGAAAGTCATTCTCCACGTGCTGATCCACAACTTGTTAAATTATTTAAATCTGTTAATGATCAAAGTACAACAGTAACTGATCCAGAAATAATCACATATATTCGTGAGGTTTGAATTTCAATTCTTTTGTTTTTTTTTCTTCTTCGGATTAATTTTCTATTTCAATAGCATATGGATCCAAATGAAAAATTTTATATTCGAAATATCGTTTTATCTTATTTGGAAGCATGTTTAATTAATCGTGACCCACAAAAGAAAATTCAAGAAGATATTGCAAAAAAACGAATGACTATACTTAATGCTATTATTGAACATAAATCAGAAGCAGAAATTCAAGCTGTTTATGCTATTCAAAATTTTGTGAATAAACTTGAACATCCACCAAGTATGTTAAAAAAATAAGTTTTAACATTAAAGTTGATGAATATTATAGAAATGGCTCGACTACTATTCGATATATTCTATGATGAAGAATGTGTAAGTGAAGATGCATTTTTTGAATGGCTTAAACATCCAGATCAATCTGAAACTGAAGGTAAAATAAAATTTTTTATGAAAAAGAAAAAAGATAAACTAATAAAATATTTTGTTTAGGGCATGCTGTTGTTGAAATGTCAACAAAAGATTTTTTTACTTGGTTACAACAAGCTGAAACAGAAGTGGAAGAAGGCGAAGAAGAAGAAGGAAATTAAATTCGTATCATCAAACAAGGAAAAAACACCCAAAAAAAATCGTTTGATGATTTGTTATTGTTATTCTTTCTTTCTTTCTTTTTTGTTATTACACAATGTGTTTTTTTTTTCGTTTTTTTTCTCATTCTCTTTATTTATTTTCTATTATATATTGAAAAACATTATATCTGTATACAACGCATGCGATTGATCATGGATTGTCTTGTCTTGTCGTCTGATTTGAACGTCAAAAACTGTGACTTTTTCTTTTTTTCTTTTTTTTTCTTCTCTCTGTGTTTGGTTTGTTAAATTGAAGTATTCATATGATTTATTTCTTCCTTACCCTATTCATTCATCAGTTGTGACCGTTATATATTTCTTTTGCTTAAAATTTGATTTGATGTGTGCAAAACAGTACTTTAACATGGAAAAAAACCCTCGTATGTCTTTTTTCTCGGTGTACATTTGAAATCGAAGCACACAAATAAGAAACAAAAAAAAACTGAATAAAATTTTTCAAACCTGATCAACCGAATATTATTCACAACAACTTAAAAATAAAAATAAAAACATTATCTCCTATAAACAGTACGTTTTCTTTTTTTTTGTCGTTGTTTGTGTGTTCGATCTCTTCTCTCTCTCTCTCTCGCTTTCTCCTTATATTCGTTTTTCTTTTGTGTCTTCTTGTCTTTCGTTCAAACTCTCTTTTTTTCTCTTTTTGGTTTTTTTTTCTTTCATGTTGTTGTTGGTTGATTTTTCCTTTTTTTCTATTCACCAAGCAATAAGAAAGAAAGAAAGAAAGAAAGAGACACACAAATATGAGCATTTTCTGTAGACATATGATGACCATAGTGCAATGCAACACATAATTTCATATTATCTAGTCATAAAGGTATGTGGAGAAAACGATCAGTAAAACCTATGCGAAAAATCTTTTCAAAGTGCCCTGATTGATAGATTTAAGAAGATTATTCTAAGTGATCTATTATTATAACAACTGATCATTTGTTACACAAAATTTCTTATTAAAAAATCAATATATATTCATCTTTCAGAACAAACGCATAATGAACACATTTTTTCGTTGAAATGTCACATTGTAGAGTTAGATAAATTCCAGCCCGTGGCCTTGTTCACCGCTAAAAATAAAAAAACTAATTTTTTACTTAGTTACTAGATATTGTAGTGCCGAACAGGACGTCATAACGGGTATGGATGTCAATGAAGCGAAGACGTAGACACCCACACCCTTTTACGCAAAAACAAGATGGAAAATAACGATCGAAGTATTTGAAAATTCTTGTTTTTAACATCCAATATTATATTTACGTTCTCAAATAGCCTGTATGCTTGAACTTTATAAAAAATATTGGTTGATAAATAATTTCTCTTTTATCGAAGCAATACATATTATTCTAAATAGTCCAACCACAAGAGAATTTATAAGCATTGAAATGTCATCATCAGTCTACATTACTATAAATATTGAACAATAAGAAAAACCAAGACCTACTTCCTTATTTGACTAGAGATAGTAACGGATGGAAGAAAAGAAAGATCGATGAGTATGTCTGTGTAATGTTCATATTGTTTATTTTTTGTTTTTGAGGTAAGAATCTATACAAGAAAAGAAGCATATAAAATGATGATAAAATCAGCAAGGCAAATAATAATTAAGTTTACCATCATATTGAAAATAAAAAAATAATCGAAAAGGAGTTATTGACTTTCGTTTTAGATCGAGGTTCTTGAAGTTTGCAGCTTGTACTACTTTCGAGATTTTCAGTTTTTTAGCGATAATAATGATGTTTGCCTTCATTCGGATCTTCCACCACTTTAATATGTACATAGCATTTCGCAGGTTCAAAGTAAAGAGGAAAATCAAGTCGCTTGGTATTAGTTCCTTGTGTTAGAGTGCTAGCACTACTGTATTTGACATTGTCGCTCTCTAAAAGTTATACAACGGGGCTGCTTTTAAAAGAACAATTTAATCTTTCTTGAACAGTCATATATATTCCCCAACAAATCAGTGTCTAGCTCAAAAGTGAGGGCAATAGATAGGGGTATGAGCATAGTGCATATATGTAGATTTATCTTTTCTTTTCTTCGTCACTATCTCAAATCAAATAAGGAAGTAGACCTTGTTCTTCTTAATGTTCAATATTGACTGTAGTGCGGGTGTGGGTGTGGGTATGGGTGTGGGTGTGGGTGTGGGTATGGGTGTGGGTGTGGGTGTGGGTGTGGGTGTGGGTGTTCATTTTTTCTTTAGCTACACCCACACCCACACCTACCACCCACACCCACACCTACCACCCACACCCACATTCACATCCACACTCACATCCACACCCACACACCCACATCCCCACACCCACACCCACACACACACCCACACCCCCCACCCCCCCACACCGACACACACCCACACCTTCTTCTCGTGTGCCCAGGGAAAGAACCTTTTTTTTAAGAGTGTAGTTTATCTAGAAAATAATCAATTCAAACTTAAAGTTCAAATTTATAAAGTACATCTTTATTATCTGAATATAATGAAAACATGTTTAACATCATAAATCAACATCTTGATTATCATTTTATGTTTGAAACTAATACAAAGACAACTTTTGAAACCAATGAGTTTAATTTTTTCAAAATTTATAAACCATACCATTATATTAATCTTCTAGAAGACGAAATACCAAAATCTAGACCTTTTGTAGAAAAACTAATTAAATTTGACATATATCATTAAGGCTATATTTAGTCATGTGTTTGTGGTACTTACAATAAAAACTAGCTGCTCTTTAACATTGCAGAAAACTATCGGTTCTGCCCAAGAAGAGGCTCACATCATAAACATAATACAATAGAAGTTTTGGTAGACACAAAACACGGATATTTACGATTCGTTGCAAAGATCATGAATGTAATAACATACCCTTGGCTTGGACATCTCTTGAATGAATTTTCCTATGAAGTATCACCAAAACAATGCACAAAATCCATACATCTAGATTACTATCTTGTCTTTACTACCTCTTTGTTAACTTATATAACTATGCCACTCTTTAGATACCTATCGAATCTTCCAGAAGCTACTGAATAATGAAAAAATTACACTGAACTAAACTTTGAATACCTATCAGATGTCTAGACAGTCACAGGTAATTCCAGGTAGCTCTTGCTTAATTGAGTAGCTATAGTAGAACATTAAGTAGCTGCAAAATGATTAAGTAGCTGTGGGTCGATTGAGTAGCTACAGGAAAACATTAAGTAGTTGTAGGTTCATTAAGTAGCCATAAAATACTTCAACTATCTGTACCCAATACAGTACAAGAGAGTATTATTTAAAAGTATCTATTTTGGAAGTGAGCACCCACACCCTGTAAAAACAGTGGTCTCAAAAGCATTTCTACATTTTTATACATACTTTTAATTGAATAGAGCATATTATGCGAATGGATAGAGAACTCTATGAACTACACATAGACGGTCATACAAACACAGAAGTACTTCTTATTGTTTTCAAATAAAATCAATCCGCGCACTCTTTCAGTAGCCCTCGTTAGTGAGACCGAAATCGGTTATGATAACTTGTTTATTGCCGACAGTCACTGTCGTGCGAAAGTGACTCCTAGTGGACAACTTAGCGACTGAAATTTTTCTCAACTTTATTGTGAAGATTCAACTTTGATTATGAATTTGTTAGTAGATACTCTTAATAATAATGAATATTTTTCTTATTCCGTTACTAAAGAAGAAAAATCAAAAATCGAAATAAAAAATGTTTTCTACCACTAAATAGCTTCTACATAGAAAATAATGCTTGGTTAATGCCACTGTCACAATTTCATCTTGTCAAACTCAACTGACAAAAAACATGGGTTCTTGGATTAAGTGCAAACAGCTAGGAAAACACCAATGGTGTTTGTACCGCTATTTGCAACCGTAATATCGGCTCTGCCATCGCCATTCAAGTCGCCTGCTACTACAGACGCTGGTACCGTGCCAGCACCAGTTGAATAGGTTACTTGAGTAGCAGGAAATGTACCATCACCATTATTGAATAAAACACCAAAGGTGTTTGTACCACTATCTCCGACAATAATATCAGGTTTACCATCGCCATTCACGTCGGTTGTTGTCACCGACGTCGGTGCTGAGTTAGTGAGTAGTCCATAGGTTACTGGAGCAGCAGGAAATGTGCCAGTACCACTATTCAGTAAAACACCAACGTTGTGTGTGCCTTTATTTGCGACTATAATGTCAACTTTACCATCGCCATTCACATCGGCTGTTGTTACAGACTCAGGTGCTGAGTTAATGAGTGACCCATAAGCTAATGCTTTAGTATCAGGAAATGTGCCATCACCATTATTCAAGAAGACACCAACGTTATTTGAGCTGCTACCCCCAACAATAATATCAGCTTTACCATCGCCATTTACATCGGCTGCTGTCACAGATGTCAGTGATGTGACACCATTAATTACATAGTTTTTTGTTTTAGGAAAAGTGCTATCACCGTTATTGAATAAAACATCAATGCTGTTTGTATCGCTACCCACGACAATAATATCAGCTTTGCCGTCGCTATCCACATCAGCTGTTGCCACAGACGTCGGTTTTGCGACCTTGGGAAGTGCGCTGCTAGTTTCTTTAGTAGCAGGAAATGTGCCATCACCATTATTCAAGAAAACACCAACTTTGTTTGACCCGCTACCCACGACAATAATATCAAGTTTGCCATCACTATTCACGTCGGCTGTTCTCAGAGATACCGGCATTGTAGCACTAGTAATTGTAGTCAGGGTTGCTTGAGCAGGAAATGTGCCATCGCCATTATTCAAGAAAACACCAAGGGTGCTTGTAACCTTATTGGCGACAATAATATCAAGCTTGTCGTCACCATTCACGTCGGCTTCTGTCACAGATATCGGTGCTGAGCCAGTGCCAGTCGCATGAAATGTTGGCCCGGTGAATGTAACAGTGCACGCTAAAAAGATCCGGTCAATAAGAGATGGATAAAACGTTTTTGGTTTCGTAATAAAAGGGAAAAGGGTTTATAGTTTTTGCTACGAAACATAAACCCTTTTTGGCCGTATATGATGAAGGTAATCAACGGTTTTCCTGTTTGTGTTTTGGAAAAATGGTTTATTAAGCATTTCAAAAATGGAAAAGAAAGTTTATCTCTTATTACAAACTTATGAACCCTTATTTTTTACAACACATGATGCTAATAGGAAACAGCAAGATGGCATAGCATTTGTAGAGTTATACCCAAGTATTATTTCATCGGTGGGATTTCATCTGTGATGCACATGATATCGGTAATAGTTACTTTGACCGAATGGAGAGAAATGAGAAGATACTGAAGTTCTATTCATAGAAAATCTTCCTTTTTTCAATACGCTTGAATATCTTCTCGTAAAATTTGCAAGATTTTGTTGCACAATCTCTCTACTTAGAAATGACGATGTATACGCTGTACTCTTGACTACTTTGTCTCATCTCTGTCCGCAAATAGAGCACACATATCACTAGACCTAGGACAGTTCCATATCAGTTCCGCTCTTGAGAACTGTTCAAACAGTTCTTTGATAGGAACTGATCTGTCCAACCAGTTCTTTGATAGGAACTGATCTGTGCCTACCAGTTCTTTGATAGGAACTGGTCCGTCCAACCAGTTCTTTGATAGGAACTGATCTGTCCAACCAGTTCTTTTAAAATAACTGATCTGTCCAACCAGTTCTTTGATAGGAACTGATCTATCCAACCAGTTCTTTGATAGGAACTGATCTGTCCAACCAGTTCTTGTAAAATAACTGATCTGTCCAACCAGGTCTTTGATAGGAACTGGTCCGTCCAACCAGTTCTTTGATAGGAACTGATCTGTTCGACCAGTTCTTT